AGATAAACACAGGATCTCAAATGTATATCTTTTATATGTACAGAAAATCCCTGCATCCCTCATTTGCATAGTTTAAAATGCTTCATCATGAAACCAGAATTATGGCAATTGCTCCTCTAATTGATGATTGTAGGGAAAAAAATGGCTGCTGAAGTTCTTTGTGTCTCGTCTCCTCCCTCAGCCTGCTGATTGGATAATGATGGAGCGCTACTGCACTCTTCTCTCCTGTAAACCTATTCTCAGTGTTGGCATGTATGGTGAGAAAGAATGAGAGCACCAAGCCATAGGGATTTCTTCAGATATACATTTCTAGTTATCACAATTAAAGGGTCTATCAAAGGATGACAGCCAATACATTGGTTGGGTGGTACTTTGTTCCCTCTTCATCAGGGCGCAGGTTTAATATGCAGGAGCAGTCTTGACAGTTGGATAATCCTGGGTTTTAGTTCTTTAAAGATTGTGGTTAAGCACTCACTAAGTGAAGTCTGGCAGCCAGACATCTTTACTGAGTGAGCTTTAAAGGAGAATAATGAGCTGAGTGAAAAACACTCATCCCCATAATTAGAGCCGACCTGTGACACCGAAGCAGTCACAGGTCAGCTCTATTGAGCTCTGAATACATTCCGCTGCTCGTTGTGTTCCCAATGATCTTCCTGCAGAGTGTGGTGACTGTCGGTCACTGTTCCCCGCAGGCATTCCCCCCTCCCCTCTCCATTTCTTCAGCACTGACTGGAGGAACGGAGGGGGCAGCCAAAGCTGGCTCTGCTTTTAGACAGAGCCAGCTGTCAATCAGCCAGCGGGTCGGATCTTGATAGTATAGTAGTGATCTGTCCCGGCTGCGGCGCAGCTCTCCGTTATATGCTGAGTTTTGGGTCACCGGAGGACATTATTTTATGCCCTCTTGTGAACCTAAAGAGAACGAGTACCCAAAAGGGTTAGCCATAGTTCACCTTTAAACTGCAATCTTTAACCACTTCAGGCGGGTGGCCGTTTATAAACGTCCGCCTCCTAAAGCGGTTCTACCAAGAACATAGCTGCTGCAGCCATGTTCTTTGTATTTTTGCAATGGCTGTTCACATACAAGTGATCCGGCGGCTATACAGCCTCCCAATCACTTGTACCATGCAGCGGAATGTGTGCCCTGCTGCCGGTGGCTACCCCGGGCTCCCCTGTTCCCCTTGCAGGCCCTGGGTCTCCCCTCATCGATCGGAGGGAGATCAGCAAGTTTCAAGCCTCCCATCACTGGACCCACTGTTTACATTCTTCATCTCCTGTAACCAGGAGAAGCTGGTGAAGCAGATTGCTGATTCATCAGCTACTTTGGGGTCCCTAGGTGAAATTAGCGGTCTGACAGACCTCTGTCTCCATAAAGAGGACCTGTCACATCATATTTGCTATTACATAGGGGGCTTGTTAGTCCTTTATGTGATAGCAATAAAGTTAGAGTGCGAGCAATAATTCTAGGGCCATCATTCACTTAACACTAAACTGATGATCAGTAAATGCTTTTAAAGAGTCACCTATTGGAAATTTTGGGTATTGTAGTTTTTTTGGGGTTTCACAGGCACATGCAATTTTAAGGCTTGACAGGTTTGGTATCTTTTTTATCTGAGGTGACCCCGTCTTTTATATTTTACCAAAAAATTGGGTATAATCTGTTTCTGTGCGCTAAATTTCATATTTATGTATTTTATCCTAAAAATACTGGTTTGCGCAAATTCCATGTGACAAAAAATTGCAACTATCATTTTTTTTTTTATTCTACAGGGCCTCTGCTTTCAGAAAATATATAATTGTTTTTAGGGCCCATTCACACCACATCCAGATAATCTCCAGACCAGATTGTTTCCGGAACCTAAATGCATCTTACTGTATTCCTATGCTATTTCTGGCCTCTGTTCACACCAGCTCAGTCCGTTCCAGACCAGAAACATACCGCATGTCTCATTTTGTCTGCTCTGGAATGCACTGGCACTGCGGCGGGTTCACACCATTTTCCGGACTAGATCTGCGCCCATTGTGCCGCACACTGTTAACACTAAACTGATGAGCATTAAAAGCGGTTTAAGCGTCGCGTATGGGCCTATGGGCGTTTTTTGCGATTTTGCGGCCGCACGCAGTTTTAAGGCTTGACATGTTTGGTGTCTATTTACCCGACGTGATCCCGACTTTTATGTTTTACCAAAAATATGGGTAAAATATTGTCACAGGTCGGCTAGAACTATGAGGTGAGTGAAAAGCACTCACCTCATAGTTCTCCTTTTAAGTTTTTATTCTGCCCAGAGTTCTTCATAAAAAATGTCAGGGGCAGTACAAAAGGGGAGATATGATTTAGATTGTGGTGTGAAATTCAGTTGCTCTAATTCTTCACATAAGCTTTATGGATTTGACCTTTTCGTGGAAGCGTCTGCAGGAAATATGATTGTAGATGGTGAACAGGAGTGTGATGGAGACTCCTCAACTTGTGTTTCATTTCAGGCACTGGCGTCTGAGTGACATGCATAGGGCAGACTTAGAATGCGAGCAAGTGCTAGAGTTTGGGCCTGTAATGTAGAATTAATCAGACTCAAAGTGGCATTGCACTCTTCCTATTGAAGCAGCACAATAATATTTAAATTTATTATAGAACCAGGAAGTAACATTTTGCAGATTTGTAGACATTACACTTGCCTTAAAGTAAACTTATACTGAGAGAAATAAAGTAACTCCCAGTTATTCAGTACCCATGGGGATTGGTAGATGCTTGAATGACTGTAGGATAACGGTAACAATCGAGCAACCCTCCCGCAACATTCACCTGCTGGCTAGATTTTGCTATTGGCTATTTCACATTTACCATAGCCAATAGCAGGCTGCCTATCCCTATTGCACATGCCCGTTGTTTACATTCACCTGCCAGCTGCAGAATGTAACCGTCGGCCTCGGCAAGATGTAAACAGATAATTTAATTAGCAACTACATAAATTTAGTTGCTAACAAATCTTTTTTTTTCCAGTGTGCACCTGTCTTATGTCTATGCACATATGTCCTCATGTTTTTTGTTTTTTTCCCTCTGGTTGCTTGAATGTCGGATAAAGGGGAGTTTACTGTATATGGGTTGACTTAGGGAAAAGTTTGTTTCCCGGCTATCTCTGGCTTCAATGCTTTGGGCCTTTAACATGGAAGAAGCATGCAAAACTAAATTTAGAACAATGACAGCCTACAAATATCTCTCAATATAACAGATGCCTGTTTATATGAGATTAGCACAGTGGCACATAGCATTTAGGCATATGATGACAAATTGCATAACCTCATATAAAAACCAGTAGATCAAAAGATATAGTAAACTGAAGTTCCATATCCTCACTTGTGTTTTATTTTAATGCATACATGTTATAAAAAAACATAGATGGGTATTTGTGACTGCAGTATAGATATTTATGAATGGTAAATGTTTTGACAAAATTGAAGTTAATCATTTGGGTGTACTTTTTCTCTTGGGGTACAAATATATTATGACCTGAAGTTCAGCCTCTGCTTCCTTGTCTTTCCTGTAGGTTTGTGAATGATGAACACAAAGGGCAGCATACAAAGTAAAGCTTTTCATAGTTGACTAATCTTAAATGTAATAGTAATATAAGGCATGTTTGCTGTTATGTTTTCTTATCTCTGTGTGGAGAGTGTAATCAGCTGGTGTATTTAATTTTTCACATTTTAATTAAAATCTTCATTTTATGAACTAGCAATTATTAGCAAAGCATATTGGACTTTCTAGTCTGAAAACTCAGCATTGCCCACATGCTGGCAGGCTATTTACAAATGATCAACCAAGATGATGCCGTCTCTGAAGGAAGGTGGGGTGCGTGACTCTCCACTGAGTCATTCAGCATTACATGTAGGCTCTGGCTACTTAGATGTGTTTGGAGCACAGGTTATTATAGATGTTTACAGCATGACCGTACATAGTAGATCTCAGAGCTTGTTGCAAGAAAAAAATTCTGCAATATTAAAGAGTAAAAGGCAAATTTTAGTCTTACACATGATATATACAAAATGATCAATTTAAATACATTTCCTTTTAGCTTTCGTGTGTGTATAATAGAGTTTAAAAATGGTTTTGGTTATGCCTTAATATTCATCTGCATTCCTGTAGAATAATGACGTTTTTAAGACTGAAATGTACACCGGAAAGTGTTGCCTTTTCATATGGTCAGATTTTATTTTGCAGGCTTGAAGAGGGCAGCTGAAATGTAACTTGAGGCTACAGGCAACACTTTATCCGGTCTTAGTACATTTAGCTCTTTTGCCTCAGTATGACCAAATAAATCTTAACACCAGCAGTAAAATAAAAAAAAAATTCTGAGTTGTCACCAGAACAGGAATAAGGAGAAATCTTCCAGTGAGGACACTAGTTGTGTTGACATTCAGGGATTTCCCTTTGCGGGGATAACCTCTGACTTCCTGTTGTGGCTATAGGTCAAGAAGTGAAGGGAAATGCCCCCAATGGGATACTGATGGCAAAACCATTTTTCATGTGCATCGGAAGTCCTTTGTCATTAGAAGCTTTAATTTACCAACTTGGGTGATAAGCCCTTCCCACAGGCAAAATTCCACCTATCTGTAGTATTTCTATCAAGTGAAAGTGGCCTTTGCGCTCTTTAAGGGGCCATTATTAGATAATGAAATGATAGGTGGGAACTTATCGAGGAACGTAAACCCAGAGACATGATCTTCAGATTGGTAAAGGAAAAGGCTCACGTATTGTGATGTCCACATTTTAGACAATTTAAAACTAAGAACAAGGTGTCTGCATCTGTCTGTCTTTTTTTATTTATTTTGAGTTTTTGCTCAGCGTAAGTGTTTTCTAGTCATTCACCTGGTTTTAACAGGATATCTATGAAATAGAAGGGGGAAATATCTTGTTCTCTTCTATCTGGGTGCAAACGTCAAACATTGGTATTCAGGATGCATAGCGTCAAATTTGATATTTAATATTTTAATTTTATTTTTGGTGCTAGAAAAAGAAGACCAAGCCTTTTAACCCACCGACACGGCGGAACTGGGAGAGCAATTATTTTGGCAAGCCCCTTCAGGACCTGGTGACTCCAGAGAAGCCTATTCCAGTCTTTGTAAAGAAATGTGTGGACTTCATTGAGGACTCAGGTATCAAGTTGTATTTAACACTAGCAAGTGTCCCCAATAACCTGTATGTTATGCTTTTCATGTTTGAATATTTACTTGGTCTCCAAATTAGTCACGCTTGGGTCCTCCTTTTCTTCTCTGGGCTGGTCAGTCCTTGTAGATGAAGAGAGTTGCGCTAGTGTAATGATTGTCAGAAAATTAAATTTGTTAAAAGTGAACTATGGGGTAAGTGTTTTTCCCAAGTGTTTTTAAGAGTCACGGAAGGACATTTACTAGCGTCCTCCCGTGACCCAAAGCGCAGTGTATATAGCGGACTACAGCTCGTGGTATACTGAGACCGCCGCAGCCAGGACGGATCCTGAGATCCACCCAGCTGCGTGACAGCTGGCTCTGCCTATCTAGAGGCAGAGCCAGCTGTACCTGCTCCCTCCCCGTCCGTTTCTCCAGTCATCGCTGGAGGATTGGAGATGGGAGGGTGGAAATTCCTGCAGGGAGCCGTGACCTGACGGTCACGACTCTCTGCAGGGAGATGATCGAGAAGTGAGCGAGCGACGGTATGTGTTCGCTGACTTCCCGATCTATTGAGCCGACGTGTGACAGTTTCATTGTCACTCACCTCATAGTTCTCCTTTTAAGTGAAATAATTTATTTTTCTGTTCATTGAAGGGCACCGCAGAGATCTTGACCATTTGGTCATAGCGCCACCTTGAGGAATTGGTCAATAGTCAAGATCTATTGATCTAATCTGTGTCCTTCAATGGATGCAGAGAAAAGGATTTTATACAGAGTCCAAAAATCTCATTTTCCCAGGCTGAACCCTGAAATGTTAATTTGCGATGAACGTATTTTGCACAACAGCAGCCTGACAAGCAATTACATACTGGGGATGTTGGTTTCCTATTTTGGTGTTTGTAATAATTTTATATTCTTAAGGGAATCTTGAGGGTTTTCTTTTTCCTAGCTATACTTGTAAAAGAGATCAACTCGCTAAAAATAGTTAATGTTTTAAGAACTTTGCATGAATGTAAAATGTAATTATACATGTACATGGGGGGCAACCAGCTTCATTCATTATATAGAAAACTAGGCATCAGTCGTTATTAGCAAGTATCATTTTGTGAATTGTGATAAAGGTATGTTTATAGCAGAGGCAGCAAGTCCATGGGTTTATAGGCTTGCTTTGTAAATGCCTCTTTGTAGAAGAGTTTTCCGTGAAGTAGCTTTCCACCCCCATTCTTAACTATGCACCACCTCAAACTACCCACCTACTATTTTTACTAAAAGAAGACCATCTGTTGTCAGCACACGGGTGGTGATCTAGCCGTTGCTTTGCGTTGGCGACTTTTCCAGCAGATGAGGTGTTGATTCTGATCTGTTTTGAATTCTGTGTCTGCTTTAAAGCATTTGTCTTTGCTTGTGTACCTTACACCATTTGCAACTGAGAGGAATGTGTTAAGGAGCTGTTGGTTCTGTGTTAAGTATCTGGTAAGCAACACAAGCTGTGCGCTTCGAGCTCAGCCACACGCTGCTCCAAACAAGCAAGAAAGGAAGCAGATGCTGTCACAATCGCCCAACCTAAATAAACAGAAGGTTCAGCTATAACAAATATTCTTCATTTTTTTTTTTTTTTTTTT